GTGTACACATTGAATGTACTGGGAGATGTAAACTTTGAATGCACTGTGAGATGTAAACTATCCAGGGTACCAGAGGTACAGCCAGTCAGTGCCCTCACGCAGGTCAGGGTACCAGAGGTACAGCCAGTCAGTGCCCTCACGCAGGTCAGGGTACCAGAGGTACAGCCAGTCAGTACCCTCACGCAGGCCAGGGTACCAGAGGTACAACCAGTCAGTGCCCTCACGCAGGCCAGGGTACCAGAGGTACAACCAGTCAGTACCCTCACGCAGGCCAGGGTACCAGAGGTACAACCAGTCAGTGCCCTCACGCAGGCCAGGGTACCAGAGGTACAGCCAGTACCCTCATGTACTGGGGGATGTAAACTATGAATGTACTGGAGATGTAAACTATGAATGTACTGGAGATGTAAACTATGAATGTACTGGAGATGTAAACTATGAACTGGGAGATGTAAACTTTTAATATACAGGTAAATGTTAACTCCGATTATAGACGAGAATAAACTTGAGTGTCTCTCAGTGTTGAAGAACGATTAACTGCAGGTTACTATTGTTGTTTCTGTAGGTAGAAGGGGAGTGGTAAACCCGCAGGGGTTATACAGCCCCTTGGAAATGAGAAGCAGACGGATTCCATGTAAGGAGAAGTGAGCCTGGCTCCAGTTCGCTGGATCAAGAGCCCTTCACCGGCATTAAGGCGCCTCCCTTGATAGATAGATAGATAGATAGATAGATAGATAGAGAGAGAGAGAGAGAGAGAGAGAGAGAGACAGGTGTTGTAGGCTGGTGGTTGCTGTAGGCTGGTGATTGTTATAGGTTGGTGGTGGCTGTTGTAGGCTGGTGGTTGTTGTAGGTTAGTGGTTACTGTAGGCTGGTTGTTGTTTAGGTTGGTGGTTGCTGTTGAAGGCTGGCGGTTGTTTTAAGATTGTGGTTATTGTAGGCTGGTGGTTGCTGTTGTAGGCTGGTGGTTGTTGTAGGATGGTGGTTATTGTAGGCTAGTGGTTGTTGTAGGTTGGTTATTGTAGGCTGGTGGTTGTTGCTGGTTAGTGATGGTTGTTGTTGTTGTTGTAGGCTGGTGGTTATCGTAGGTTTCTGGTTTCTGAAGAATTAAGAGTTGGTTGTTGTTGTAGGATGGTGGTTGTTGTAGGATGGTGGTTGTTGAAGGATGGTGGTTGTTGAAGCATGGTGGTTGTTGTAGGTTGATAGACATCGTCTAGGAGACGACCAGGTGTATGGTTGTTAGAGTTTGTTTACGAGTGAAACTTTGCGCCGAAGAGTAAACAACGTTGTTGTTCCCGTGTGAGTCATATTTATGCAGACCCTACGAGCCTAGAAAATATTCTGAATAGTTAAGTGTTATCCTGTCTGCACTAGAGGACAGTCTGGATTACGTTATCCTGTCTGCACTAGAGGACAGTCTGGATAGCGTTATCCTGTCTGCACTAGAGGACAGTCTGGATTGCGTTATCCTGTCTGCACTAGAGGACAGTCTGGATTACGTTATCCTGTCTGCACTAGAGGACAGTCTGGATTGCGTTATCCTGTCTGCACTAGAGGACAGTCTGGATTGCGTTATCCTGTCTGCACTAGAGGACAGTCTGGATAGCGTTATCCTGTCTGCACTAGAGGACAGTCTGGATTGCGTTATCCTGTCTGCACTAGAGGACAGTCTGGATTACGTTATCCTGTCTGCACTAGAGGACAGTCTGGATTGCGTTATCCTGTCTGCACTAGAGGACAGTCTGGATAGCGTTATCCTGTCTGCACTAGAGGACAGTCTGGATTGCGTTATCCTGTCTGCACTAGAGGACAGTCTGGATTGCGTTATCCTGTCTGCACTAGAGGACAGTCAGGATAGCGTTATCCTGTCTACATAAGAGGGCAGTCTTGATAGTGTTATTCTGATTGCACTAGAAGACATTCTGGACAGGGTTATCCTGACAGCACTAGAGGACAGTCTGGATAGTGTTATCCAGTCTGCGCTAGAGGACAGTCTGTTTAGTGCTTTCCTGACTGCACTAAAGACATTCTAGACAGTGGTATCCTGACTGCAATAGAGGACATTATGGACAGTGTCATCCTGACTAAATTAGATAACATCTTGGATAATTACAGTGTTGTCCTAAATGCACCAGAGGATATCTTAGAGTTAAATTATCTTGAATGCATCATAATATATCTTGCATAGTTAGTGTTATCCTGACTGCACTAGAGAACATCTACGGTAGTTATTGCTATTCTTACTACAATAGAGGACATCTTAGAGTTACAGTATTATCCTGAATACACCAATGGGCACCTTGGATAGTTATGTTATCTTGACTGCACCAGAGGTCACCTTCAATAGTCAGTGTTATCCTGAATGCACCACAAATGATTTTTATAGTTACAGTGTTATCCACAAGAGATTCTGGATAGCTACAGTGTTATCCTAACTGCATCACAGATCTTAGATAGCACAGTGTTATGCTGAATTAATCACAAGAAATTTTGGGTAGTTACAGTGTTATCCTGACTGCACCAAAAAACACCTGGGATAGTTACAATATTATCCTGACTACACTAGTGAGCATCTTGGATAGTTACAGCATTATCCTGACTGTACCACAAGATATCTTGTATTTCTGCCTCATGGAAGACGGTTTCCACCTGACATAGTCTAAACATCTCTGGATGTTAAGTATATGGATGTTAATTTAGATATATGGATGTTAATTTAGGTATATGAATCTTAATTTAGATATATGCATGTTAATTTAAGTATATGGATGTTTATTTAAATATATGGATGTTAGTTTAAGAATATGGATGTTTACGGTAGTATATTGGAGCTCCACTGTTTATATATACCTTAAAAACAATTGATAGTGAAGCAGATTGTGTTTGTCATGAATCAGTTTTTGTTATGTACTGTTAGGAATGGTGTTTTTGTTTCCTTTGTTGATCGGTCAATTGATAAATATTTTGTTGCTGCTGTTGCTCTCGACGCGACATTGTTATTGTTAACGGGGTTATTGTTGAGCATGTGAGCCTGAGAGTACTAAAGTTGTACCTTTGTACCGAACGAGTACTATGTACGTAAGGTTAAGTAATCACGTTAAAAGTCAGGTTACAGTAGATATAGTCATTTAATTGCTTTAAGTTCAATTTACAGTCCCGTGTCTGTATTGTTAGGCAGGGAAGCAGCGCAGAGCAGACGAGAAGCAGGGCAGAGGGAAGGGTACATGTGGAGGGGGGGGGGTGATAAGGCAGGGAGGGAAGGTGTGGTACGGTATGAAGGCTGTAACCTAATGTAATCCCACAATCCCGTGTAATCCCTACCAGTTTCGCATAAATCCCTCGTCACAAACCCCTGCCCAGGTGAGGTCGCCAGACTCCTCCAACTGCAGGTATGTGTGTTATGTCACTCTTCATGGCGAGTGTATAAATTTATTGATGCTACTCAAAATATGAACAAAATGTATTGCAGTAGGTCTAGGATAGGTTGGGACCAAGGAGGGATGTGGCAGTAGGCCTAGGGGCCTGGTCTCAGACCGATCCGCGGGGGCTTTGACCCCCGAAACCCTCTCCAAGTATATTCCAGGTAGGGGGTATAGCGGTTAAGGTGGTATGTAGTAGGCGCCTCTAGGGTGCGTGGAGGGAGATACACTAGGAACATAGGGAGGGAGGCAGGTAAGGTGTATGAGGCGAGTATACACTGGTGGTTGTCAGTTTAATATGCAGCAATGTATGTACTAACTTGTATGTGGTTGCAAGGGTCGATTCACAGCTCCTGACTGTGTGTGTGTGAACTAGATCATATACGCTTGTTGTGGTGGCTAGTGTATACGCATTAAGTACCTCCGTGCCCTGGTAATGAAGGAAATGTGGGCTGCGTATGATTCGCCTGTGTGAGCCGGAGGCGTGGCGCACTGAGAAGCTGGAGTACGAGTGGCCTGAGGCGGCCAGGTGCAGCAGACATCCCATACTGGAATGTCACCCACCATTCTCCATCCATGACCTCCACCGCGGCCAAGATGATGTCTCTCACTACTCTCGCTCTCACACTCGTCAGCTCACTCACTGGAGCCCGCACATAAATACACACACACACACACACACACACAACACACCACACACACACACACACACACAAACACACACACACACAAACACACACACACACCCACACACAAACACACACACACACACACACACACACACACACACACACACACACACACACACACACAACCGCACACATACAAGCACGCATATACAACAGGCCTAGTGTCTAATCGACATGTGCCTAGGACAAAATGGTAACCAAACACACACACACACACACACACACACACACACACATGCACACATACAAGCACGCATATACAACAGGCCTAGTGTCTAATCGACATGTGCCTAGGACAAAATGGTAACCAACACACACACACACAAACACACACACACACACACAAACACACACCAAACATTCAAACACACACACACACACACACACACACACACACAAACACACACACACACAAACACACACACACACACAAACACAAAACACACACACACACACACACACACACACACACACACACACACACATGGAGAAGATTATCAGAAGAGTGGTGGAACACCTAGAAAGGAATGATCTCATCAACAGCAGCCAGCATGGTTTCAGGGACGGGAAATCCTGTGTCACAAACCTACTGGAGTTCTATGACATGGTGACAGCAGTAAGACAAGAGAGAGAGGGGTGGGTGGATTGCATTTTCTTGGACTGCAAGAAGGCGTTTGACACAGTTCCACACAAGAGATTGGTGCAAAAACTGGAGGACCAAGCAGGGATAACAGGGAAGGCACTACAATGGATCAGGGAATACTTGTCAGGAAGACAGCAGCGAGTCATGGTACGTGGCGAGGTGTCAGAGTGGGCACCTGTGACCAGCGGGGTCCCAGGGGTCAGTCCTAGGACCAGTGCTGTTTCTGGTATTTGTGAACGACATGACGGAAGGAATAGACTCTGAGGTGTCCCTGTTTGCAGATGACGTGAAGTTGATGAGAAGAATACACTCGATCGAAGACCAGGCAGAACTACAAAGGGATCTGGACAGGCTGCAGAACTGGTCCAGCAATTGGCTCCTGGAGTTCAATCCCACCAAGTGCAAAGTCATGAAGATTGGGGAAGGGCAAAGAAGGCCGCAGACGGAGTACAGTCTAGGGGGTCAGAGACTACAAACCTCACTCAAGGAAAAAGATCTTGGGGTGAGTATAACACCAGGCACATCTCCTGAAGCGCACATCAACCAAATAACTGCTGCAGCATATGGGCGCCTAGCAAACCTCAGAACAGCATTCCGACATCTTAATAAGGAATCGTTCAGGACCCTGTACACCGTATACGTTAGGCCCATATTGGAGTATGCGGCACCAGTTTGGAACCCACACCTAGCCAAGCACGTAAAGAAACTAGAGAAAGTGCAAAGGTTTGCAACAAGACTAGTCCCAGAGCTAAGAGGTATGTCCTACGAGGAGAGGTTAAGGGAAATCAACCTGACGACACTGGAGGACAGGAGAGATAGGGGGGACATGATAACAACATACAAAATACTGAGAGGAATTGACAAGGTGGACAAAGACAGGATGTTCCAGAGATTGGACACAGTAACAAGGGGACACAGTTGGAAGCTAAAGACACAGATGAATCACAGGGATGTTAGGAAGTATTTCTTCAGCCACAGAGTAGTCAGTAAGTGGAATAGTTTGGGAAGCGATGTAGTGGAGGCAGGATCCATACATAGCTTTAAGCAGAGGTATGATAAAGCTCACGGCTCAGGGAGAGTGACCTAGTAGCGATCAGTGAAGAGGCGGGGCCAGGAGCTCGGACTCGACCCCCGCAACCTCAACTAGGTGAGTACAACTAGGTGAGTACACACACACACACAATGTACTTCAGAGACTGCGGCAGAAGCTGGAGGAGGGTGGACAAAGAATGCCAAGTGAGAATTTGACAAAGGTTATAATAACACTTGAACGTAAGAAAAGAAGGACCTGTCTAACATGGGTCTACTGGTCCATGTTAGGCAGGTCCAACTCACCTTCACTCATGTTCCTGCCCAACCTATATTTAAAGCTACTAAAAGTTCTCGCTTCAATGACGCTATTTGGGAGTTTGTTTCATTTATCTATATTTCTATTGCCAAACCAGCGCTCTCATATATGCTTTCTAAATCTAAATCTGTCCAGCTTGAATCCACTGCTGAGACTTTCTGTTTTGGCTTGATATTTCCAGCACGTTATTTATATCCCCCAGTCTTCAAGACAGTCTCTGATTAGCCTGGCTGTGGTGCATACGTTGGACTGCGAGCGGCGGGTACTAACAGCCTGATCGATCAGGCAAGCAACGAGGCCTGGTCTGGGACCGGGCCGCGGGATGGTGACCCCCCGAAAACGACTACAAATAACGTATAGGTTTCCAGTGATTGTTCAGTAGCGCAGTCTCCGGTTAGTTTAACAGCGCTATTATGCACTACATTCCCATCCTCCGGCGGTAGCGTAGTCCCCAGTGATTGTTTTTTTTAACAGCACAGCCTCTAGACAGTGATTGTTTTTTACAGTAGTGCAGTCTACGTTGATTGTTTTTCTTCCCCTCCTCTCTAAACGGTCACATTGAGAATGGTGTGTGTGTGGCCTTCACTTCAAGTTGTTGAGTTTAACACCTAAGTTATTTGTTCAGACTTCCAAGTAAGTGGAGTTAGCCAGGCGCTCAAGTATTCTAGCGCCCGGGTGTTGGAATATTTCATTTAGGAAGGTAAGAGAATGAAAACTTCTAGGGACGTAACAAAATTCCACGTGGTGCTTATGAATCAGATGGAGGAAGCATCGCTACAGAAGACAACATTCCGGGCCATAAGAGCAATTCATCAAAGGCTCGTGTCGATGCATTATTAATGGTGGAGTGGGCAGTGCCGCACTGTCACTTGTAGAGGACTCCCCTTCCCTCCCTCCTTAAACGGCACCATCAAGCCGGTGGACAACAGGCTCGGCCGCAGTTTAGACTTGCAAGTAGCCTACCTGACAGTTCATTATGTGCAGGGGACAACAGTGAAGGCGACCCGGGTAATCTGTCTAAGAGAGAGAGACACACACACACACCTACACCTCCCTCGCCTGCCATAATAAGAAAAAAAAAGGAAAAAAAAAAGGTAAACAAAAACTGAAGAGGTAACCGGCTGGTCTACTTTAGATTTTTATGAGTGGAAGAGTGTTGAAGTGTCACAAGTTGTAGCCTCTGAGAGGAGATGTGATCATATTAAAGTGGGGCGACGCATCAACTTGTCTGGTAGAGAGAGTTGGATTCGCATTCCAGCCTGATGGTTCAGTTTTATAAATCACCATCAGTTATGTAAATCAATATCAGGTATGTAAATCAGGTTACAGAATGTATATCACTTGCTGTGGTAATAATAATAATAGTAATTAGTAAATATTAAAAGGAGCTGTAGAGATCGGAGAAAATAAAAACAGAAAAAAAGGGTGAAGAAGAAAGACACAGAGAAGCTGTCTATGGATCATTAACCCCAGAGGGTTAATAATCCAAGATAACTTAAGAAAACCAGTGTGACTTATCTCCTTTGAGGTCCCTGGATCATCTTCCCAAGGCACCAAGGGTAAGCAAAGCTCTCGCTTCACAGCTGTGTCCGTGGTTTGATTCACATTATTATTATAATCAAAAAGAAGCGCTAAGCCACAAGGACTATACAGCGGTTTGATTCACAGCAAAAGTCACCACGATATCCTAGAACAACCCCTCAAGGAAGGTTCTTTGATGTTCGTGAGGGTCTCCTGATCTAGGGAATTAGATCTGTGTCCCGGTTCCCTGAATTAAGCCTGAATATCTTCCACATCCCCCATCCCCCACAGGCGCTGCATAATCTTAAAACAAAGACAGTTAAAGACAGTTAAGGTGCTTGATGGAGAAAATAGTTCAGCAGACGAGGGAGTGACGAGTTTATATGCCATAGAGGATAAAGTGTTTTCCATGAAGGCAGAACAATATGGGTTTATCATTAACAATAAAACGGTGCATTTTGAGATTGACAGTGGGGCGTCAATCTCGACATTATCCAGAGACTGGGTAGAAGCAGTAAAAGGGCACATTGAACCATGTTCGAGGAAGGTAACTGCATTTGATAATTGGAAAATAAACCTTTCGGGAAATGTTGTTTTGCCGTTGTATACCTGCTTCCCTGAAGTTGAAAATGTCTATCAACAATTCAAATGCCTAAGGTATGTTGAAGGCATTGCACAAGCATCCAAAGCTAACACTCCTTAATGATAGGGAAAGGATGCCAATAGTGAGAGAGATAAACGACATCTGCTCAGTCACTGGGTCAGGATACCCTGGTGCTACAGCAGTGCCCCTCACAAGAGTAAATTGGATTCAGCTGAAAGATAAAATGGGTGGAGTGACACTACATAACTCCTCAAGAGCTATCATTCATATAAGTTACCTGGATTATGTGTATCTACTGCTAGAGAATTTGGATTGCTTTAAGAGTCAATATTGGCTTCATTCCCAGACGGTACCTAAAGGGATTCTTTAAAGATCTGTCATTGATGGATGAGGATGGCTGGGATCTCAGTGAGGATGGCCGGTGGAAGGGCGTGTGGCGGGCTAGCTGTGGGATTTTCAAGGATAACGTACATACAAACCTCGAAAGGCCTCCATAAACACATCTACCTCCAGCACAGGCGCCATGCTCCCAGTTAACTTAATGAATATGTGTCGATGCATGGAATAATTAGAGGCATATGGTGTTAAGAGTAACAAGGTCGGGACCAGTCAGTGTCTCCTCCTCCATGTCACTGGGGAGGGGAAAGAGGCAGGGTGTGTAGGTGAAAATGAGGGAACACTGGTTTTAAGCTGTCACATACCCACATCTTTCATGATGTGCATGGGGAAACAAATAAATGTTGTGTTTATTGTAAACAAGACAGTGTGATCAACAGTGTACAACCCCTGTGTAGTATACAGTGACTGTCCCTCTCCCCGGGCTTGCCCCATATGTAGTGTACAGTGACCCTCCCGCGCCTCCCATAACCCCTCACCCCGGGGTTCCTCCACCAAACTACCTGCGCCTCCACCATTCAACTCCCCCGCCTCACCCACCCAAATCCCAGCGACACCCCAAATGTACAGGGTACTTTTTTCCCTTCTAGCCCATCAAGCCCCACCACGTTGGCGCCCTACCATGCCCATGATATCAGCAGTGTCACAAGATATCCCGGGCTCTCGGGAACTTCCACGACAGAGCCAACGCCGTGGAATTCGACCACGAGGCAACTGTCAGGTGTGCCACAGGGAGTGTTCACTCAATCCCTCAAATCTCAACATCCGTGCACATAATGGATATCTAAGCTCCCAGAGAGTTCCAAGTGGGTACAACCAACAGCCCCTCCCTGCAGACAGAGCTGACAGCTACCACGACTTCACCTCTACAGAGGACCTACAATACGGAATCAAATTAACGTCCACCAGGACGCTGACACATCCCCGAAGTAGCTCTCCCTCAAGCTGCTAGCAAATCCGCTGACTTTCTGAAGTCAACGATGGCCCTGTAAACAGCAACTCCTGGCACAACTTAGTGCTATTTGCAATGGCTGTCTGACTGTCCCACCAAGGAGGAGCAAGTCCCTAGCAACATCTGTTATTAGGCCAATTATTATTTTATTATTATTATTATAATCAAAAAGAAGCGCTAAGCCACAAGGGCTATACAGCTATTAGGCCAATAAATGCTTTCCTTGAGATGTTTATTAATTTATAATATATATGCATTGTCTTCTATTTTTCGTTGTATTCCAACAGTGATAATTAATTTTCAGAGTGAACTCTATTATAATTTACATATTTTTGATACTGTCATAATTCTTGTGATCTACTTAGTCTATCTTTATCATCCTTTATTCAATATTTTATATAATTTGTTTTATGTGTCATTTTTATATAATTTCTTATCTGCCACAATTTAATTTTTATATTACTGTAATATTATTGATAAGGTAACAAAAGGACCCCAATGGAAAAAAGTCACTCTGATTTTTTTGGGTTATCCCAGGTTCTGTACAAATATGCTGCCCTGTATGGAGTAGCAGGTATAAGCAAATTAATAATCTACGGTCCAAGAGCCTAGGTTTGCCACTACTGTATCTGGTGTCTCGTTTACCTTATTGGAAATACTTGACAGATGGATGTTTTAGTCTATCAACAGTGATATACAGGTGTTTTAGTCTATCAGCAGTGATATACAGGTGTTTTAGTCTATCAACAGTGATATACAGGTGGTTTAGTCTATCAACAGTGATATACAGGTGGTTTAGTCTATCAGCAGTGATATACAGGTGGTTTAGTCTATCAGAAGTGATATACAGGTGTTTTAGTCTATCAACAGTGATATACAGGTGTTTTAGTCTATCAGCAGATATACAGGTGGTTTAGTCTATCAGCAGTGATATACAGGTGGTTTAGTCTATCAGCAGATATACAGGTGGTTTAGTCTATCAGCAGTGATATACAGGTGGTTTAGTCTATCAACAGTGATATACAGGTGGTTTAGTCTATCAGCAGATATACAGGTGGTTTAGTCTATCAGAAGTGATATACAGGTGTTTTAGTCTATCAGCAGTGATATACAGGTGGTTTAGTCTATCAGCAGATATACAGGTGGTTTAGTCTATCAGCAGTGATATACAGATGTTTTAGTCTATCAACAGTGATATACAGATGTAATATTCAGGCAACAGTGAGCATATTTTTAGTCTTGTAGATAAATGGTTCAGAGAACTGACAAGTTGATGAATTAGACACATGGGCAACACTTGATTATCTTTACTGAGGAAACGTTTGGCCACACAGTAGCTTCATCAGTCCTCAACAAAGAAGAATGGTGAAAATCTTCACCATTCTTCTTTGATACCCAAGTGTTGTACATGTGTCTAATTCATCAACATTTTTAGTCTTGTAGTTCTTGTTTATTGCTAGTTTGGCAACACTGATGAACCTTGAAGTCTGGTAACGCTGCACTGTATGTGTGTACACTGTCTGAGATATGTACATTGTTTGATATGTATGCACAGTGAAATGTGTGTGTACATTATCCAAGATGTGCCCAGTGTCTGATTTGTGATGTGCGTACGTTTCATACGTGCGTTCGTTGGAATATGTACACCAGGATGTGTGTATACCGAAACGTGTACACCGAGATGCATGCACATGTTGTAAGATGTGTGTACTGAGATATATGTCTGCTGAGATGTGCATGTACAATGAGATGTGCACACAGTTTGTAAAATATATACTCTCTAACATGTGTGTACGCTGACTGAGATGTGTGTGCATTGTGTATGTGTACACATTGTCAGAGACACGTGTGTACATCAGGTAACATTATTTGAAACACCTTAAAATTGCAACACCAGTATTGCAACTAGGTGAAGGCTGGGAGGATACAGCCAGAACTGTAGAACACAGTGAGGCAGAATACATCTAGGCTGGGTGCTACACCCTGTTACAGTGAGTGATGACAGGTGGCAAGGGCCTCGGTGAGGCGTGATGGCGTACATAAAGTAAATATCTGTGTTTACACTATGTAAACACCGTGAACACGGTATAAACAAAAGACGTACGTAGCGTCAACAAAGACCATATGATGTTTGGCCAGTCGTAGCACCGCTGCTAGTGGTGGATGGTAGGTGGTAGCAACGCTGGTAGCATTGTTGCTGATGGAGTTCTCTGTGGTGCTGATGTCTGAGGTGTGGGAATCATGGTACGGATAAGGGTGGTGTTGCTGCTCCTGGTCTGTGCCTGCGCCGGGTTTGGTCATTTAGGAACACTGAGTGTGGGAGGTGTAACGCACACGCACATTTGGAAAAAGCAGCAGAGCAAGGTGCTTGCTTCATATTCCATTAGAGGCGAGACTCAGGCCATCTCTTTCCCAGAAGCGATTCTATTCTTTGTTTCGTAATTAATCACATACCGACTTTAAAGGGTAACTGTCACACAGAAAAAAAAATCAGAAAGGTGTTACACGTAATTACACAGAGATGAGTGTAAGGCTGGAGCCGTTCTTACAGCTCATGTGAAGGAGCGAAGGAACCAGACTACATGTGGCTTGCCACTAGAACCACAGGCCCGTGTTTACTCTCCTTCTCCGAGTTTGGTAACAGGTTATACAAACACACCACACACACATACATACACACAAACACACACACACACGGCGGTTCACAAGTCACGCGTTCAGAAGCTGTGTTCCGTATTTGTAGTTCTCGCCTCGCCTTGACCGCCGTGTTAAGTTAAATTTGAGTTTTCTACAAAGGCAACGCAGATTCAGTTGATGCAGGGTCGTGGCTGGAGTCGTCTTAAAAGATACACAACACTGGCATTCAGCTGATGCAGGGTCGTGGTTTAAGTCGTCTTAAGAGTAAATACACAACACTGGCACTCAGTTGATGCAGGATCATGGCTGGAGTCGTCTTAAAAGACACAACACTGGCACTCAGTTGATGCACAGTCGTGGCTAGAGTCGTCTTAAAAGATACACAACACTGGCACGGCCGCTAAACTCCCAGGTTTGTCATTGACTTATATCGCCATAACTATTATTATTATTATAATTATTATATTATTACTATTATTTACACACGACAGCCCTTTATTGTGGGCATTTAATAAACCTGAGTAATAACCTGAAGTCCAGTTTGAGTCAGCCGCCAAGTGTCTTGTTGATCTTGAGACGTGTGGGTGTCTACTGAGAAGTGGGAGTTGAAAGCAGCACTTGTGTTGCTCTTAGCATCTGTCGTGCTGTTCTTAGCACTTGCCGTGCTGCTCTTAGCACCTGTCGTGCTGCTCTTAGCACCTGTCGTGCTGCTCTTAGCAACTGTCGTGCTGTTTTTAGCACTTGTGCTCTTCTCAGCACCTGTCGTGCTGTTCTTCGCTTCCACATCATCTCATATATTGTATAGATATTCTCTTTTTCGTTCAATAGGCAAATACGTTGCACATTTGTAGTACTATGTGTATAATGCTTAAATTTATTCAGCATTTTCTAACAAATAAAATACAAGAGACGGAGTTTGAAGAAAACAGTGTTATTCAATGAATAACAATGAATAACTGTTACACAAGTTCTTCGTAGTTTTAACATGAACTTTAAACAAATGTCTAACGACACTAGGTGTCTCATTTCTCTTTCTTAATTTATTATTACGTCGGCTCTTCAGAATATATCAGCACACAGTACACAAACAACCACACATAGGAGAGAGGAGCCCACGACGACGCTTCGGTCCGACTTGGAGTAACTCTGTAAATGGTCCAAGTCGGACTGATGCGTCGTCATGGGCTCCTGTCTCATAAGTGCGGGTTATTTGTGTATTGTTCCAGTCACGGTATTGTGCCTTTTTGTTCTTAATCTATCAGCATAACTACACACATTTATTGACCTTTTTTTCACTTCTGTACAAAAGGCATTTTCTGTTACTGCATTTATGAGATATATCTCTGCAGTTAACGAGCGATATGAAGCACCTTGGTGATGGGGAGAGCAGTGTCCGGGCCCCTGAAGCAGTGACCGGGCCCCTGAAGCAGTGTTTGGGCCCCTGAAGCAGTGTTTGGACCCCCCCTTGAAGCAGTGTTCGGGCCTCTAAAGCAGCGTCCGAGCCCCTGGGCACAAATGACCTTCCAGACCTCCGGAAAAGGGTGTAAGACCTTCGAACATAAGTGTAGGGCCTTCCAGGCCTTTGAAAAAGTTTGCCAGGCCTTTGGGCACACGTGTAGGCCTTCGTGATCCCTGGAAAAGGGCGATTCCACCGTAAGTGGCCACAGAAGTGAGTCTTCCCTTTCTCCTCGTCATCTTCAATCCTGAAGCATTCTTACGAGTATCCACGAACACGTGGATTTCTCAGACACACAGTCAGGAACCATCTTAAAGTTGGACCTGACTAGGGCAAAAACAGGTATTAACCTACGTTTTACCCTCCCAAGGCAGCATCAAAAGCCACAAGGACGCGTCGCTGTTTTGCATTTATCATGAAACCTCGTATTTTTTAAACCACATGCGGAACCACTTTGAACCCGTAGTCATCTTCAGTGCCAGCAAGTGAGGCGCAGCTGCTAACCGTTGCTGTTCCTGCTGGCTTCTTGTCCGGAAGCAAGTCCTGTTGATATTCCTGTTGCAGGGAGGCGGAGAGACAGCGTCGGTGATCACGGTCTCTGAAGATGGAGTAGAGGTTGTTGCGTTGCTTTGGTTTATTGGTGGTGGGTTTGAGTGTCACAGAAGCCTCTTCCTTCTGCTGCTGTTGCTGTAACTGTTGCTTCTGCTGCTGCTGTTGTTGCTGCTGCTGTTGTTGCTGCTGCTGTTGTTGTAGCTGCTGCTGTTGTTGTAGCTGCTGCTGTTGTTGTTGTAGTTGCAGCTGCTGTTGTTGTAGCTGTTGCTGTTGTTTCTGCTGTTGTTGTTGCTGCTGCTGTTGTTGCTGCTGCTTTTGCAGCAACTGTTGTTGCTGCTGTAACGGCTGCAATGAGCCGCACTGAGACAGTGGTGCCACTGCTGGAGAAGAACTCTTAGGATTAGTGTTGGAGCTGATTAGATGGGTTGAGGGAGCGCTTGTTGTTGCTGCTGCTGCTGCTGTTGATACTGGCTTGTTCCCAGGCGACTGACATGTCCGCTGCGGCTTTGGCGGCTTAGGAGGTGGTGGTGGCTTGGTGCGACACTGATTTTGTTGCGGTTGTGAGGGTTGTTGTGGCGGGGGAGGTGTCTGAGATTTGTCTGCTGGCTTCTCGGCAGTTCGACCGTGATGAGCTGTTTGTTTGTGTTGTATTTGTACTTCTGATGCTTGGTGCCAGTGTGCGGGCAAGGGCTGATGGGGTCGGGATTGCTGTTGTCGCAGTTGTGACTGCTGCTGCAGTAGATGCTGTGACTGCTGCTGTTGCTGTGCCTGTAGCTGTGGCTCTTGAGTCTGCTGTGAAGTCGTGCTTCGGAAGAGATGAGGCGGCCTGGCAGGCAGAGGTGGAGGAACAGCTTCGAGAGATCTAGGCGAGGAAGTAGTGGCCTCGTAGACAATTTCCTCGTAGAGGTGGTAGTCGGGGGCGCTGTCGTAGGAGGACTCGGAGGTGGTGTCGTCGAGAGGCTGGTGACGTCGGAGCTCGTGGAGGGGGAGACGCGAGGCCAAGAAGACCTCACGCGCGTCGTTGCAGAGGCTGTGGCCGTCTAGGGAGCGACGTCGGCCGACGGAGCGGCACTGGAGGTCGTCGAGGACGGCCAAGACACACCGCGCCACGACCTGCGGGGGCTGCGGGACCCGGGGGGCGCAGCCGAGGGGGCACAGGGGCACGCTGCTCCCCCCGACTCCGTCACTGGCTGAGTAGCAGACTGTCACTCCCGCCGTCATCCCTGTGGACGATTAAAAATAATGTTAGTCTACATGATCGTCACAACACTGTGACTAGACTAACCCACAAGTACACAATCATACCACTGTGACCAGACCTACCCACAAGTACACGTACACAATCATACCACTGTGACCAGACCTACCCACAAGTACAAGTACACGTACACAATCATACCACTGTGACCAGACCTACCCACAAGTACAAGTACACGTACACAATCATACCACTGTGACCAGACCTACCCACAAGTACAAGTACACGTACACAATCATACCACTGTCACCAGACTAACCCACAAGTACCCGTACACGTACAGAGTCACACTACTGTGACTAGACCTACCCACAAATACAAGTACAGGAACACACACACACACACACACACACACACACACACACACACACACACACACACATACCACGTACACACCAAGACACAATACACAGAAAAAAAACCTCTCATATGTTTAGCTAAAACTCTAACCTGATTGAAACTTCATTCCAGTCGCTAGTAAGAAAGACACATGTGCAACAGTTAGGTATCTTCATTGCGAAATGTTGAGCCTACACAGGAGCCTTCTTCAGTCAAATGTTTTGGAATAAAGATACCTAATTGTTGCACATGTGTCTTCTTGATCAACTTGGTACTGTATAACATTATCAAATTCACACTGTCGTTACACCCGATTCAAATTAACACGTAAATTTGAGTTGAAACTTGACGTTTCGGTCCACCGGTGACCATTATCAGTGGCGACATGACACTGGTTCAACACGGGTCAAAACATTGTCTAGTTTCCCTACCAATCTGAGAGGTAGTTATGTAAAGTAATGGTAATGAACACAGGAATATAAGAAAGGAAGAACACTGGAATAAGCCTACTGGACTATGCTAGGTAAGTCCGACTCACACCCACTCATGTACTTCTCCAACTTATTTTTAAAATTATCCAATATTCTGGTTTCAGTGACGCTCTCTAGTAGTTCCACTCGTCCACAACTCTACAACTAAACTAGTTTTGTCCTCTAGCCTGATTACCTCAAACTCCTCTTCACCTTCCAACTTTGTCTGCATTGGACTCAAGAAGCCAGTGGCTGGCGACACGTCCCTCCCCTGACGCTAGTATATAAGTGCCAGTCTTCATGCCTGTGCTTCAGACTCTTCAAGACTACGGTGCTCTTCACTAAGGGTCTGATTACCTCATCTTTTGTATATAGTTCTACTGTCTTCTAACTGTGTTCCTGAATTTGTATTGATAAAGCCACTGGACAGTGAAACGTCCACAATAAAGATACCCAGATGTTGCACATGGCTAATTCTTCATCTTGTCGGTACTGTATACCATACATGTACAATTTACCCTATTTATGATAATAGTACTTATGTGTACCTTTGCCTAAATAAACTTACTAATCAGCTAAGAAGGTTAGTCTGAGAGCAGGAAGCAAGGAAGGATGGCTTCTCCAGCACATCCTCACGTTTCCTAGTCCACGTTTCGATCTTCCTCCAGCTTGTTAGGTAAGACACATATGCAACAGTTAGGTATCTTTATTTCGAAACGTTTCGCCTACACAGTAGGCTTCTTCAGTCGAGTACAGAAAAGTTGATAGAAGCAGAAGAGACTTGAAGACGATGTAATCAGTCCATCACCCTTGAAGTTTTGAGGTGGTCAGTCCCTCAGTCTGGAGAAGAGTATTGTTCCATAGTCTGAAACAATATGGAGTTGAAGTGACAGGCTGGAGCCTTATATACCGTCAGGAGGCGAAATGTAGGCCACTAGTAGAGGTAAGAATGTAGTCGTTGGGAGGTCGGGTCCCTCTCAAATCCAGCCATTCTCAACTAGTATATGTGTCTTACCTAACAACCTGTCGGTATTTTATACCATTTTAATATTCACTCTGTCAGACAATGCAACACAATGGTATCTTGGTACAGACCAGAAATCAACTTGGACAACTTCTACTAGTGAGTGTTAGGTAAGACACATATGCAACAGTTAGGTATCTTTATTACGAAACGTTTCGCCTACACAGTAGGCTTCTTTAGTCGAGTACAGAAAAGTTGATAGAAGCATAAGAGACTTGAAGACGATGTAATCAGTCCATCACCCTTAAAGTTTTGAGGTGGTCAGTCCCTCAGTCTGGAGAAGAGCATTGTTCCGTAGTCTGAAACAATATGGAGTTGAAGTGACAGGATGGTGCCTTATGTTGCATATGTGTCTTACCTAACAACCTGTCGGTATTTTATACCATTTTAATGTTCAATCTGTCAGACACTGCAACACAAGGGTATCTTGGTACAGACCTGAAATCAACTTCGACAACCTCTACTAGTGATAACGGCTGGATTTGAGAGGGACCTGACCTCCCAAAGTGACCTACGTCTCACCTCCTGGCGCTATGTAAGGCTCCATCCTGTCACTTCAACTCCATATTGTTTCAGACTATGGAACAATGCTCTTCTCCAGACTGAGGGACTGACCACCTCAAAACTTTAAGGGTGATGGACTGATTACATCGTCTTCAAGTCTCTTTTGCTTCTATTAACTTTTCTGTACTCGACTGAAGAAGCCTACTGTGTAGGCGAAACGTTTCGTAATAAAGATACCTAACTGTTGCATATGTGTCTTACCTAACAACCTGTTGGTATTTTATACCATTTTAATATTCCTCCAGCTTCTTCCCTCCCTCATTCCCCACCCCCTTCTTCCTCAGTCACTTCCTACTCCTAAAACTCCAACCTCTTCCCTCTCATCCATACCCCTACTGCTCACTTGCCCTTCCTGTGCTCCAGTACCCTTCATTAACCTCCCACACCTGCAGGGGTCCACCCCAGGTTGGCCCTAAGTGACCATTTCACCTCTTTTCTATTCCTACCGTCCCTACTTTCTCTCATTCCTTTCCTCATCTTTTCCTCTATATCCCTATGTTCCCCTTACTCCCTACCAGCCCCTCCTTCCCTCCTACACCCCTACTTAAACCAGTATGGCGGGGAGGAAGGGAGAATAGGTGATAATGTGGGTGTGATGACCTTTACACTATACCTTTGATATACCTCTGATGAATTCTCGGAGTTTTCCTAGTCCCAGTGCCCGGCCCTGGACCAGACTCGTCTGGTGTGGCTTTAACTAACCACCACCACCACTACACTAGCCACCACCACAACTATCACCAACACCCCCACCACAACCACAGTCACACGCCCACCACATTACTACTACAAGATTACCTTAATCACAAAAAATATAAACATATATTAGAGATATTTAGATACTGCACTAAATATAACCTGGTACAGGACTTTATCATGATATGGTATGGTCATGGTAGGTTATGACTATGGCAGGATATCACTATTGGTATGGTCATGACATGTCATGATCACAATATGGTATTATCCTACTCTGCAAAATTTGGGTGTCTTTATTCCAGAATAAAGATACGCAAATGTTTCACAAGTTTCTCATTTATCAACTTGTGGGTTTTCTCAACCGTTTGCTCACATAATCCTACTGTACTCTGTGGTGATCCTAAAGCACAAAGGATGGGGTACCCGACTTACTCCTACCTGTTCACTGATCCTACAGCAGCACGGGAGAGAAAAACAGAGTTTAGTAAGATAAAAGAAGTTTGTAGGAGGTTGAAGAGGGATCTGATGCTCTTCAAAATCGCCTGTGTAAAATATCAGAACACATTACACAGGATAACTTACACATTATGACAATAGCGGGAACAACGTTACGGAAACAGAGTTACAGGTTCACGCCACCGGTCACAACAATATTAAATAAACTTAATGTACACAACAATATTGTACTTACATTTAGTACATTAATATATATATATATATATATATATATATATATATATATATATATATATATATATATATAATATATATATAATATATATAATATATATATATATTAGCCCCCACAACTCTCAAGAAAACTGCAGTGCTGAAGAACATGTCATCTCCACAACGCCACAACACAACACCGCCCACACGCCCACACCGCCCACACAGAGTGAGAGTGAGCCTCATAGTGGGTGACAAAGAACAGGATAAGTGAGTACAGTGACAGAGATGAACAACCACGTAAAAACTGGACGCAATTCATGAAACTACGACGGCAAAAATAATGAATTTAGCCACGGTGAATAATATGGCGAAGGGGGGGAGGGAAGGGAATAATGGGGGAAGGGAGGAAGACGAGAGACGGGAGGAAGACCAAGAAAGGAGAGGAGGAGGAGGAGAAGGAGGAGGAGGAGGAGGAGGAGGAGGAGGAGGAGAAGGAAAAGGAGGAGGAGGAGGAGGAGGAGGAAAGTGGAAGCATAAACACAGGGAAAACATACAACCTGTGGCCATGAAAGCTGACACTAACACTCTCACCAACACTATCTTCAACACTGTCACCATCTTCAACACTATCTCCAACACTGTAACCAGCAATATCACCAACACTATCACCATTATTATCTCTACTACTGTCTTCAACACTATCTCCAACAATGTAACCAACACCATCTTCAACATTATCTCCAACACTGTCACCAACGCTATCTTCAACATTATTTTCAATACTATCTCCCACACAGTATTTACCACAACCTCAAGACACAGTATTCACCACAACCTCAAGACACAGTTCTCGTCACAACCTCAAGACAGTTCTCGTCACAACCTCAAGACACAGTACTTACCACAACCTCAAGACACAGTACTTACCACAACCTCAAGACACAGTACTTACCACAACCTCAAGACACAGTACTTACCACAACCTCAAGACACAGTACTTACCACAACCTCAAGACACAGTACTTACCACAACCTCAAGACACAGTACTCACCACAACCTCAAGACACAGTACTTACCACAACCTCAAGACACAGTACTTACCACAACCTCAAGACAGTTCTCGTCACAACCTCAAGACACAGTACTTACCACAACCTCAAGACACAGTACTCACCACAACCTCAAGACAGTTCTCA